GTCTTCGGGCCCTCCCCTCCACCCCACCGGGGCCTCTGCTCCCTGCACTGGTGCGCGCGTCCGCAGGCTCCTCTCCTCCGGGTGGGCCCCACCCAGCCGTCCTCTTCCCCGCAGTATCAGCACTGCCCCAGGACCACGGCGAGCACGACCTCTGTCTTCCCTTCCCCGTGCTCCGACCGCCCCTGGGCGCCTCCCCTCGTAGGTCAAGACCCTTGGTGTCTCCACTCAAGCCCCTTCTCCCAGGCCACGCCACTGGCTCTCTGGCCCCGCCCCGCGGTGACGCCCTGCCAGGGCTCAACCCCCTACAGTCACCGCAAGGCGCCTTCTTCCCAGTGACCGTCTCGGCCCCCCGTGGCGAGTCCCCGAGGTCGAATTCCAGACCCCTGGGCGATGCCCGCCCGGCCCAGGTAGCTGTCCCCATCTAGACGGGCTGTGTCCAGTGTGTCAGGAACTCTGTCCCTGGGACTCACACCGTATCCTACTGCGCTTAAAAGCTTGGGCCCCTAAGCCAGCCTTTGCCTTCCCTAGCTGGCTGTGACCTCCCCTCCGCAGAATCTGAACCCTGTTTCCTCTAATACCTGTAAAGGTCACATCTGGAGGCCTCAATTTTAACCGAGTTCATGTATTTCCCAGGGAGGAGGCAAAACCTGGTTTCTGGGGTCTCTCCAAGAACTGAAGCCCAGACCTCGCCCTCTTTCCTCCGCCTCTGCCGGTCGTCAGTCTCCCATCTGTCCCCCAAGCCCCACTTCTGAGCCCCTCTCCACCTCCCCCCTCTCTCCTACCCCAGGCGGGCCTGGCTTTCCTCTGGGCTGAGCTGGTCGAATTCCTTGGCCACTTCGCGTCCCAGGAAAGCCTCGTGGTCGTACTGGAAGTTCCCGTGGGCGTCGTCGTGAGGAGCCTCGCTCAGGGGGGCCGCCTGGTGCACCCTAGCCTGGCCATGAGGGCCGGCGTCTGGGGACGGCTTGCCCTGGGCCCCGCACCTCAGCAGCAACAGAAACAGCAGAACTGACGTTTGCCACATCTTCGGCCCCTGGGGAGCGAGGGTCAGGGGTCAGAGAGAAGAGGGACAGAGCAGGACAGGAGGATGGAGGGGTGGAGGGGCTATCTACAGGACAGAGGGATGGGAGCTGGCTGCAACGTTTTGGGCTCAAGAAGGGCTGGTGATGAGGAAAAGGAGGGCAGGCGCTCAGAGAAAAAACCAGCTGTGGGGGCCGAATCTTCTGAGAAAGTTCTAGAGGGGGCCCGAGAGCCGAAGCGGGGAGTTTGGGGGAATACGTGGCGCACGACCCACGCGAAATGTAGGCAAGCTGATGACCAGAGAGCGATCAGGCAGGCTCCAAGGCGTCCCTCCTGACTCGGCCCCTGATCCACGCCCCGAGTCCCCCGAGCCGTCCCCCCAGGCAGCGCCCCGCTCCGACCCTGCCCTTTACCCGGTTATCCAGCTTCGTTTTGCTCTCCGCGTTCCCCTCGGTGTTCTCCCGAGGATGCCCAATTTGGCTACTTTCCACGCAGGCCCCGCCTCCCGCAGCTCAGAGGCCACGCCCTCCGACCAATGACCGCACACGAGAGCCTTAGGGGGCGGGGCCAATGAGCGCCGGGAGGGCCCTGGATGCCCCTCGCCACGTCCACAAAAGAAAGCGCGGTCTGCCCTGGGAAGGCAGGGTGGGATACGCCGGAGAAGCCCGGCCAGCGAACTACAACTCCCAGCAGTCGATAGGGCAGCCTGCCCACTACCGCCAGTTGCTCTAGCCCCAAAGTCTCATGGGAAATGTATTTTTCTCTAGTTCCCTTTGTCAGGACGTTTTAAGTAACTGAGGACTCAAAGGGCCAGAGGCGCTAACCCTTCCCTCAAAGAGGGAATCACTCTTCTGCTCCACCAAGGAAGATTCAGTTCAGATTCCAGCCAAGAAGTCCTCAAAATGCCTGGCATCATGTAGGCATTTAAAGCCAGCTGTGGGGGCCGAATCTTCTGAGAAAGTTCTAGAGGGGGCCCGAGAGCCGAAGCGGGGAGTTTGGGGGAATACGTGGCGCACGTCCCACGCGAAATGTAGGCAAGCTGATGACCAGAGAGCGATCAGGCAGGCTCCAAGGCGTCCCTCCTGACTCGGCCCCTGATCCACGCCCCGAGTCCCCCGAGCCGTCCCCCCAGGCAGCGCCCCGCTCCGACCCTGCCCTTTACCCGGTTATCCAGCTTCGTTTTGCTCTCCGCGTTCCCCTCGGTGTTCTCCCGAGGATGCCCAATTTGGCTACTTTCCACGCAGGCCCCGCCTCCCGCAGCTCAGAGGCCACGCCCTCCGACCAATGACCGCACACGAGAGCCTTAGGGGGCGGGGCCAATGAGCGCCGGGAGGGCCCTGGATGCCCCTCGCCACGTCCACAAAAGAAAGCGCGGTCTGCCCTGGGAAGGCAGGGTGGGATACGCCGGAGAAGCCCGGCCAGCGAACTACAACTCCCAGCAGTCGATAGGGCAGCCTGCCCACTACCGCCAGTTGCTCTAGCCCCAAAGTCTCATGGGAAATGTATTTTTCTCTAGTTCCCTTTGTCAGGACGTTTTAAGTAACTGAGGACTCAAAGGGCCAGAGGCGCTAACCCTTCCCTCAAAGAGGGAATCACTCTTCTGCTCCACCAAGGAAGATTCAGTTCAGATTCCAGCCAAGAAGTCCTCAAAATGCCTGGCATCATGTAGGCATTTAATAAATACGAGGGTGATTTAAAAAGTGGAAAAGTGGAATTAAAGAATTTATTTATGGGCCAGCAGACGGGTTAAGGCGGGGATCCCACATGGCCCACAAAATTACACACTAGGTGCCTGTGCATGCCTGCCCAATCCCAAGAGGAGAATGGAGAAGGGATTGTAGTGTGGCCATCCCACTCACCCCCTGTGGTGTCTCACTTTCTGTCTCTCTCTGAAGACCACACACACCCTATAGCTAAAAAAAAAAAAAAGAAGAATGCATTTATTTTGGTACAATTGTTTTTTTAAATCCATGCATACTTTTCTTATAACATGCATTTTCCAGAACTTTCTGAAGAGTTCTCATGGTTGTAAAATTTATGAATGAAAAATACATAACTTGATATATAAAATGGTCAGACCCCACTGCAACAACGTTAGACACAGGGGAACTGAAGCCCAAGGCTTACACGGTGCTCCCCCACCCATTCCGTCCCTCCCCGGCCTCAACACCTGAAATGACGAGAGCACACAGACTCGGGCCCAAACTGTTATATGTGGAGATGGGGAAGAGCCATATGTAACAGGAGGGGAGACTGAGGCAGATCACGGGAAGAGAGGCCCAGGAGCAGATCAGGCCCAGGACTCCTTCTGGAGGCTCAGAGATGCCAGGATTCCAGGAGGTCTCACAGCACGGAAGGGACCTGGCTACCTTTGTATTAGCAGCCAGAACGGGGTGGTCAGACAGTTGCTGGGAATGCATTTATATCCTGCGAGTCAGCATCCTGGTGCAGGCCTGGAGTGGGCAGGAGGGCCCCGACGTCATCCCCGCGGAAAGCAATCCAAGGAGCTAAAGAGAGAGGAAGGGGGGTCCTCAGAACCTCTGAGGGTCTCTGACGCCCCTCCCCCACCCATCTCTCTCTTTCTCTTACTCTCTGCTGGCCTCTGTCCTCCACCAGGACTCTGTCCCTCCCTTCCCCATAGTCTGTCTCCACCTCTCTCTGGGTCCCTGTCTCTGTCTAGAGCTCCATCCTCCCAGGTCTGTGTCCCTGTCTTCCGGGGTCTCCGTCCCTGCCCCACACCTGGCAGCCCGCTCCTCATCCTCCTCCACAGCAGAGCTCCTCCCACGGCTGCAGCTATGAGCAGCGCCAGGCTGATGACGACTGCGACCACTGGCACCAAGGACGTGGCTGGCGACTCTGCAGCCAGAGAGAACTGTGAGGCCTAGAGACCCTCGTCCCCTTCCGAGCCGGGCAGGGACTGGGAGTCCTAGCCCCACCCACCAAGTGTCTGAGGGTGAGTGTGGCAGAGGGAAGGCCAGTCGGGTGATGCCCTGGGCCTGGGCAGAATGCCCCCAGGTAGGATGGAAGAACCAGTCATAGCAAGGGAGATGGCAATCACACCGGCAAGGTGCCTGTGGCAGCAGGCAGGTGGTGTTCTGCTGGGAGGGAGGGCGGGCACAGAGCAGAAAGCCGGGCTCAGGACTGGGAGGAGCGAGGCAGGGCAGTCGGACTTGGCAGTAGTGGACAACTAACAGACTCCGCGAAGACCAGCAGCACGGGAGATAGCAAGACTCACGGAGGACTGGCCTCGGGGCAGGCTCAGCGAGGCCGGGAACAGCAGGGTGAAAGGCAACCGGACTTGGAGAGGCCTGCCCCGCTGGACAGGGCTGTCAGAATTTGGGAGAACTGAGACCAGCAGTTGGCATAATGGCTATGTTGCTGGACTCCCAGCAGTTCGAGTCCTGGACCCGGTGGCTTAAAGTCACGTCAGGCACGTGTGCATGTGTGCCCAAGATCCCGAGAGGAGAATGGAGGAGAAGGGATTGCGGCGTGGCCATCCCCCCTGGGGGGTGATTT